AGACAGTGGCCTCACAGACCATACCAGTTCCCACAGCTGTGTAAGGCCAAATCCTCTGCTTGAGTCAGTCACCATTTTCTGGGGCACAAAGCCCTGCATACACTGGCTCATTTATTCTTCCCAGCTTACGTCACTCTTTGCCTCAGCCAAAGTATGCATTCCTGTTAGTTTTCTATCACTTGCCCCATCACGTAAGTCTCAGCTCTTCTGTGTCTCCAGGTCTTTGAATACTCTGTGCATTCTGCTTATGCTCTTCATCTGCAAATGCTCTTGCCCTAACCCTCAACTCAGACTGAACTTCTCTGACCACCCCACATCAATCATTCCTCAGGTTTCTTTCTTGAGTTCTTACTAGTTATATATGCTCACCTAATCTTCCGGCTAGTATTCACTTTAACCTGTGCTGCACAGCTGTGTCTGTCTTGATTCTCACTGAATATCCTGACCTAGCAGAGTCTGGCCAGTTCTCCAATGAAAGGATTTATCTACAAATGGAATGGAAGATATGGACTCTATATAGTGAGTCAGAAATACAATTAATTTCCCATTCTTTGCAGAGCCAAATGATTGCCCTGAGCTCCACCCTTATTTCTGTTCTTCTTGACAGGTCAAACTAATTGCACAGGGATTCAGGGACCATCTCAAATTCTATGTCAAATTTCTGTTATGGATTAACAGACTTTTTGAGGACAGGTGTGCTAGAAACATTGAGAAAAAATAAAGCCAGCTAGCACTGCAGGTTAGAATTGTCACTGTATCCTCCTCGCGCTCTTTAGAAGCCTTGGTTACTACTGTAGAGACGGTCTCAGTATTTTCACAACTTCCAAGGTCAAATCTTTTGGTGTTATCCTGAATGACCTTGAGGATCACTTTAACATTTGGATACTAACGATTCTTGATACTGGCCTTCTTCAAATGCTTTATGCCTTAAGTGTTTCCTTATTTCTTTGGAAGCAGTTTAATATCTCTGCATATCACTCTTTTTTTAGTAGCCTAAATGAGAAGCTGATCAAGTATGTTGAGAGTGGCTGATAAATTCCAGGTTTGCGGACTTTGGAAACAAGCTGTAGGTCCCCATACATTTGTTCCCAGGTTACTTTCCTTGTAAAATAAAATCCCAATGTAGTGTCTGGATACCACTTGGTTCCTGTGTGTCCTCATCCTCCATAAAGTGTATGAAGCAACTAGTTCTTATTTCAAGTATTTACATTTTTCCCTTTTTCTCCCCTTGAAAATTGTTTTGGTCAAGGGTATAACGTAAACGTTCTGAAATGAAAACAGATTTTGCTTTCTTGGATGTTAAGTTCAATGGTACAAAAAGTAAGCCAATGTGGGTTCCTCTGACATAAGCTAGAAACCAGCCTTCTATCAATGGGTGGTTACAGCGCAGCAGAGGGGAAGGTTTGCAGTATGCACCGAAGGGATTGGTGAAGATGCCACGGTCCTACTCATATCTCACGTCTTTTGAGTTTAAATTAACTACACCACAATACAGTTGTGATCTACTTTGTTAGGCAAAATCTTTCCAGTAATAGGTGAAACACAGGCTTGTGTAGATTCAATTCTGGGACAATAACAGTAAAGACCACGTTTCTCAAATGAAGGCACAAACGTTTTCAGATTTTTCAATCAACAGTATAAACTAGCTAACTTACTTGACTGGTCTGCACACTTCACACAAGTTTTGCCCGGAAAGTGATAGCTATTTGCAGAACATTTGAACATCAGAAGGCTCACAGTTGAGAATGGAGTATAAATTGTCTATAATTCATAAGTGTCACTTTCATTCTGAATTACATTTTGATCACCTTTCAGGGAACTAAAGACTTCACATCTAAACTAAACCGCTGAGTCATCAGGTTTTTGGAAGAAAAAGAAAAACATGATAGATTCAACAGCTTCATAAATAAGTAAACAAATAAGTAAGCAAGCAAGCAACATCACCCCCCGCCCCCTAACTACTTGGCCATCCATTAGTTAAAATTTAAGAATCAGAAAATTTCTCCATTTTCACTTCATTTCTTAGTAGCTGAGAATTTCAAGTTTTAACCCCTAAAAACTGCTTTCACTCATGTGGCAGGAGGACAAGAGAAGGCGGCTTCCGAGTCTTTATTTCGCTTTGTTACACACCCTCTGTTACACAGAGGAACACACCCTCTGTTACACAGAGGAACTAATCAGAGTAGGATTATCATCTCCATACTCAAAACCACAGGAAATGTATTTCCATCTCCTCCTTTTCACGATATTGGACTGGGATTTCAGAATACTTTGGGATTAGTTTGGGGTTGAATAAAAGAAACCACTGGAAGGCAGTGCAGAACTAATGGTTATAAATCTACTTTTCAGAAGTTAGTGGTGACTTCTGCTTCCGAATGACAAGGCTGTGCCACATTCATGGTGCTATCAGTCAACTGTATATGCTGAACAGTTGTTTCTGGGTGGATGTCAATGTGGACAGCAGTTCCTGAGAATCATCCACTCTTGCTCTCAGCTTGCTAGGACCCAGGACTTCTCAAAGGCTGAGAAGAAAGCAGAAGTCCTTGCTAATTGCAAATATGTACAGTGAATCCCCGAGCCTCTTGTGCAATGGGAGTTCTGACCACTGGGCTGCCCGGGATGTGGAGCAGCAGCTGCCCGAGAGCCTGGCTGGGCAGTGCCCACCTCATGGGACATCTAGACCATTCCAGACAATACAGCACTGTGCTCCTGCTCTAAAATGAGGTGGGCACGGAGATGTTCAGCCTTATCTGTACGTGATACCAGGGGCTCTGCTTCCTTCCTGAAGGGGTTTTGTGTTAGGCAGGATGAAAAACATACTCAACTTCTATTCTGAGGTAGGCAGTGGTAGGAATGAGAAAAATAAAGACCATGTAGGATCTACCCTTCACCCACCTTTTTGGCTCACACCTTAACATGATGCAAGCGGTACAAGCCTGGTGCTTGTAGCTCTCAGCATAGCCTCGCTTCTGTACAGCGCTCAAGTTCAGCATACCCACTGCTCTTTCGGAAGCAAGTTCACACCCAGACTGAACTGTCACCCTTCTTTCCTTTCCTTTCCTGTGGAATCTTGGGATTATCTAAGTAACTGCTAACACATTGTAGTGTGTACACATCACTTCAAGTCTGTCAACTTTATTACGCCTACACGGGAGAAACGTACTTGTCTGTTTTCAGGAATATACCATAGGCATTCTATAAATGCTTTTGAAATAAATAAAAATATTTATTTATAAGTCTTAAAGTTTTTTCTTACCAAAGGAGGGAGAGTTCATTTTTGAATTGTAAACTAGGAAAGTTCATTCAGTCCTCTATTTTGTCCTAGGGTTAGACTAATCACCTTGTCATTAAGGTGAAGATGTCTGTGATGAATTATGTATTACTATTACCCCTAAATGAAGAGCTACTTTGATCACGTATGAGCATTCAGGACAGAGCCTGGCATTAACAGCACACTGCCAGCCTTTTGCTTGGCCACGTTAAGGCTGGAAAGACGACGGGGCCCTGCTGCTCGCACAGTGAAGCTCGTCAGGGACTAAACAGCAGCACGGAACCCATCCCAAGAGAGCCAGAAAGAAGCCTGGGGCAAGCATTTAAACCGGAAGCCGTGGACTTCAGCGCTCACCCTCCCTGTAAGTCCTGTGGCAAATCTACACGACAGACGCAGAGGCAGACAAAGCACCTGATGCTTGAGATGATCTTTAATCCCCTTCCATATCCCACTCCCTCCTCACCATCACGAGATGAATATCTGAATATTCTGCAGGCTTTAAACCACCTATCCTGCCATTTAAGGTAAAGAGCAGGATGCAGGAGTAACTCTTTGGAAAAAAAAAGATTAAAGAAGACATTAACTGCTTGTCTTCATAGTATCTGTGTGTTTATCTCACCTCCCAAAGAGCTTGTGTTTCAAATGGTCAGATGGGAGTTGGAAATAAGTTGCATCCTGCTCCGTTCAGCATCTATACACAGTACAATGCTCTATGTGTTATTATGAATTTGAGAGGAATGATTTCTTCCTCCACTTCCCACCTATCTTCTCTGAAATGCCAGATTAAAGAAATGAGTCTCAGAATGATTCCCTAGACTCTCTCCTTATCAGTTTTGTATTAGCACATAGCAAAGTAGTTCACAAAGTTTCTGCGAAGTCTAGCTGGCGGCAGAGCTGGACCACAGACGGCCACCCAGACAGGTGACCAACCGCATGGAAAAGCTGACAAGAGCCCTGTTTTGGGATACTCTGAAAGTTCTCAACCTGATGTGGAACTCCAGAGCAGTTCAGTGCAGGAACAATCATCATAACCTGATTCCCTGTCTAAGGTAAAACATACTTCTTACTCGCCACAGACATATCCAAAATGTAAGACAAAAACATTGATAGCCTACAATGGCTCTTTTGGGGGAAAACAGTGCTCTACCAGATGTTTTCTAGAATTCACTCCAAGCTGTTGAAAGGTCTGGAAAGACTGGTGGCTTCCGGTTTATGCTGTCTACAAAAACTAGTATTGACAGATTAAAAATAATTTGTACAGAATTTTCTTCCTTTAAAAAGAAAGAGCATTTCTTTTTATCTTCATAAGAACTTTAATTGAGAACAATAATATGCAATAAATACTACCTGCGATGTTTAATTTTTAGCTAAGATTTAATGTCCTCTTAGCTTTGAAACAGTAACTGATTTTCAGTTAAATCTTAAGAAATGTTAATTATAAACTTATAACACTCTACTGTAAAAGTCAGAAGTCCCATTCCCAGACTTCTTGTCTAGATGAAAAACTGCTGGGCCTCCCCTATCAAAGCTCAGAGATGTATAAACCATCGCATGCAGACCTGAGGTACTTTTACCACCCAAAGTCACACGGGAGATTCCAGTTCAAGCTGATGGCATCAACTAGTTTTAAAGTGCTCTATTAAAAAATAAAACAAAAATTTAGTTTGTTTTGGGGCAGTTAAAGTAAGTGTTATATTTTGAAGACGACATTAGAAGAATGAAAACCAAATACAGGATTCTTGTTCTGTAATTGTTCCTTTTTGCTTTCATTCTGAAAATGCTGTGTTTTTCAGAGAACGCAGCTAGCCACTCAGCTGCACACTGACAAGTGGGTCCACACTTGGCCGGAGGCGTTAGAGGCTATGATGTCAGCTGGCTAGTCCGAACTCTCTTCTCTTAAACAAACATTTCCCTGTACTATTTTTAAGTCACATCTCACTTATCTTCCTCCTTTAAGAATGGCGTAACTATTACAATCGCCTGTACTGAGTTACAGAGTTTGCTAAAAGTAGAGGTACTCCGGTTAATGATGAAAATGGTGTGGCCAGAGGAAGAGCACTGCTCAATACGAATACGTAACAAGACAAAACGAAACCACGTCTTCTTAATAAAAAGGCTAGTCGAAAAACAGACTCATTCTAAAAAGAGTAAGATTCGAAATCACAATGAAAGGAACTTGAGTAATTTACTGCTTTTGTTGCTTAAAGATACCTTACTGAAATTGGTATCTGACATGACACGGTACCATGCGCAGAATGCGATATTGTAGTGACAGTACCAAGGTGAACTGCTAGAGACTACCAAACTCTTTCCATAGTAAATGCTTACATCTTAATTATTTATATAGAACATTGGTCCAGTAACAAAAATAGAGAACAGCGTCTGGATATTTATCTCACTCAGTGTTCAGAGATAAAAGGGTTAACCATGGTTTCCATTATTTTCTGCAAGTAAGTCCTTGTTCATGCTGAGATCCTCTGGAGATTGAACTCTGGCATTTCCCCAAGCTACTGTATGAAGAGGATGCTGAAGGCCATCACTATACAGCACACTGCGACGTAAGGACTCTTTCGCTCACCTGGTGACAAAAAGATATGCGTCTTGATTGACAAGTGACTACCAGAGAGATACGGTTATTACTATGGGATGGGGAAACACACTTAAGGTAAAGGGCTTGTCTGTGAGGCACACCAACTGGGAGCAAGAAGAGAAACAAAGAACTAGAAGCAATAAAAATCATGTTCAAACAGGATGGAGGGGGCTGGGGATTTAGCTCAGTGGCAAAGCGCATGCCTGGCAAGTGCAAGGTCGTGAGTTCGGTTCCCGGTACTGGAGAAAAACCAAAAAAAAAAAAAAAACCAAAAAAAAAAACCAAAAAAAACCAGGATGGAGTAAACTACACTGATTTACTTCTGAGAGCGCCTCCTTCACAGGTATTTAGGGAAACACCAAAGGTGCCACGGTGTTAAGCTCAGACATTAAATATGCAAAGCAGCATGTAGGACAGAGATCCAAGGAAAAGGGTCTCCAACAACTCAAATAAAGCCTAAGAAAGAGCTTAGCCTCTTCCATTAAAAGAAACTTCTACTTGTACAAAATAATCGAACATGCAATACTTAGCAATATTTTTTCAATACTGGTAGTGTTTATAACAGGAGAAAAAAGGAGAGGAAGCATTCATGGACAAAAACAGGCAGGATAACCAGTAACTGCACTTAAAAAATGGACTCAAAATAAAATGCTTAATGAACATTGTGGTAAAAAATACTTCTGAGTCATAGTATTAAGTCAACTATACATTGAGTATCTCTTGCCCAAAGTTTTTGGGATAATTATTTCAGATTTCAAAGTTTTTCAGATTTTGGAATATTTACATGGAATTACGAGTTGAGCTTCCTTATGAAAATCTGAAATCCTCCAAAATCTGAAACTTTTGGAGTATCATATCCATGCTCAAAAAGTTTAGATTTCTGAGTAATTTGGATTTTCCGAATAGGGATGCTCAACCTGTATAATAGGATTACTCCGGGTTAGAAATGCAGACCTCAAAACAGCCACTTCTGTGTGAGCTGGTGTTGCCACCTGCTAGAGGAGTGCTTGTATTTGGCCTCTCCTTTGTATGATGTGGATCTGAAGTCGGCTTGTGAAATGGTCCTGCACATGGAAATCTGTGACTGTGAACTAACTCAACTCATCCTAACCTGTTTCTTTTTTTTGTTTTGTTGTTTTTTTCCGGTACCGGGCATCGAACTCACGACCTTGCGCTTGCCAGGCAGGCGCTGTGCCACTGAGCTAAACCCCCAGCCCCTAATCTGTTTCTTTAGCAATTACGAGGCTGTGCTAATTCATAAGGCATCAGGTATAGCACGAAAGGAAGACAGAAGAACACGTGCCTAGAAACAACCCTAGAGTGTATCTGGTGTCCTCTAATAGAGACAGTTCTTGACCCCCTTGCAAATGTTCCACAATGAGTTTTAAAAACTTTCCTAGGAAATAAGATCCTTATTTCCCTTGAGTTCAGCTAATGACATTGTCATTAGCTGAAAATGTCAATCCTGACTATCTTTATTCCCTCCAATTCTCTAGTCATCTTCAAGGCTTCCTTACTGAGCTCAAACTACTGGTGTTATCAGTCACTCACAGCTTCGGGTCTGCTCAGTGACAACGGTCACAGAGAATATTACACCTATGAAAAAGCACACATCTGATGTTTTTCTGAAATCTAAAAAAAAAAATCCATGGACATTTAATGAAGCACATTCCAGTTAAAAGAAAATAGAAAGTGACAGAAAGTGCTTTCACAATGCCGTCACTTCAGCTAGAGAAAAAAATCTTTAAACTTAAAACTATATTGGGTCTTAGTGTTAAAAAATCTCAATTCTTTGGAGGTCAAACAGCAAGGCATCACACGAAAGCCCTCACTTGTGCATACATTTCAGACAGATTTCATAATCAAGCATGTCTTCCTTATTAGGGCCAGCCTCAAGGTTAAGGACAGTCTTCTTAAAAATCTAAAGGATGCGACCAGTACCTTCTTAAGTTTTCCAACTGCTACAAATTAATTTCTGAGGACGTTTTTCTCTTCTTCATCCTCTGACTTAGAATGCTTTAATTTACATATGGATTTCATTTCCCTGTTTTTCATTTTCTTAAAAGAGACTGCCATGTGGTACAGCTAAATAATATCTTTGGTTGAACTTGGGTAAGAACGCATTTCTCGTCTGGCCTTCGGTCTGTGCAAGTCGATGTGAAACAGTTGCTGTAATGTGATGTGTAACGTGATAAGACGATTGGGCTAGGTCCTTCCCATAACACTGCATCCTTTCCTTGTGGGTATATTGTGCGTCAAGAAAAAAAGAGGTGCGTGTACTTGATGTACTAGCAGCAATATTTTCTAAGCTACCTTGCCAAAATAAAAACCTAATGCATTCATGTAATTGGCAGAGTGAACACTTTAATGTAACCATTCAACCTAGGACACTCAGTCAAGCAAGCAAGTAAACAAAACAACAGCGCCCAAGGCCCCACACTATTTATATATAATGAAACAAAAAGCAGGCCATATTTCAGTAAATCACTAAGACATGTACGAACTAGGTATCTTAAACTTTTCTTCAAGTAATAATTATGCACAGGAGAAGGTCATTAAGTTGGCTACTGAATGGAACTGTATACGCTCATTTATGACATAGAGCAGTTTTAAAATCCCTTAGTATTTCCTTTCATCGTAAGCATCGTGATGCTGTGACTGAGATGGAAACTCAGCCTTGTAGTTCTAGATCTGCATCGAGGGGTTCTCCATCCAGTGCTCTGCTGCTGGGCAATGCTGTTCTTTTCTACGGAGGGTCACGTGCCTCTCAGCAAGCAGTGCGGCTTAAACACTGTATTCATACTTACCACGAGCTGTTAGCGTTAACTGTCCGGGGCGCTCTTTAGCCTCTATCTTTCTCTTGCTTCTTTGTGAAGTGACGAAGATTTCTTCTGTGATTTCAGGGCTTGCAGCTGTGCACTAGTGTGCGCCAGCTAAGCCCACACCACAAACCTATGTAAATTCCTGTAAATTCAGGCCAGGCCTCCTTAACGATAGACACTACTGCCATCTTGGCCGGGGAATTCTGTTGTGGGAGCTGCCCGGAGCATCCTAGGGTATCTGGCAACAGCCCTGACCTAAACCCATTATATGTTCCCAACTCTAGTGTGACAATCAGAACTTTCTTTAGACTCTGACCACTGGCCTCTGATTAATCACCACTTATCTAGGCCACACCTGTACGTTCACTAATTCAAGGTCAACAGTACTTGTTGAAAAACAAAGATTCTCACGCCTCTCTCTGTAAGACAGAATAAAGCATGACAAAGACCACAGAGGAAAGACAATGTGATACTTTAGAAGCACACTGAAATCTCAGGGAGATAATGTCTATTTGAAGCTGACATTTGGTTTGCGCTAGTCTGACAGAAAGGAACTGGTTGACAATTTACAGATGGCGAAATGGAGGAAAACTAGACACTTACCGATTCTGGCACACTTCCAAAATATTCCCAACAGTCTGTAAAGAATAAGAAAGGAAAAAAGTGGCTATTGACTATTGGGAAAGAAAAATCATTATGTCCATATCATACAGAAAAGTAATAGTACACTGCCATTTTAACCTTTAATGCTTTGCTTCAAATTTGAAATCTGCTTATTTTATGTTGAGCCATGCATGAAAATAAGACACAATAGGACATCGACTACTGGTAACTGGAATATATGTGGTATCATAGGTAAAAAGCAGGTTATATTAATGTAACAAAATTTTTCCTAAAGGTTTACTGTGTTTAGTGACCTTAGACTGCACTATTATCTTCAAAAGCGAAGTTTACATGCTAACTTGATTAAATGTTAATTTTGAAAAATGATACGTGAATACAGATTTAGATGAATTTTGGGGCCACACTAAAAACTTCTTATAGCACACAGTCATACAATTAAATAATCTATAATCATGAACTACAATGATAGTATCCTGTTTATTTATCTGTGTCACTCGGCAGGAGAAATAGAAAAATGTGTGACCGTGTTCTAAATATACGAAAGAAGTTTCCTAGTTAGGAGAAACTAAGTGTATGATTTCACAGTTTTGGAAAAAGTCAATTCAGTCATGAATGAATGGATATATCTAAAAATACAACAACAACCTTTAGATGCTCTTTTGCTGGTTTTATAAAAGACTAGAATTGTAAGGGGTACTGCACATGGTTACCCATTCAGATAAATCAACATGATTTGTTGCTCATATTAGGACTGGCTCAACAAAACCATGGCTCCTTATATTTCAAGGAAATTTATATTAACATTGCCACCCCCAAGAAATGTTTGGCTAATGAATCGTTCTACCAGAATAGTTAGAGGAAAATACCTATTTAATTAAGACTTTTACATATTCTTCAGTTCAGATTAAAAGGAATGAACAAAAGCATAAGTTTATTTTGAAGTACAGACATTCTATTCTGGGAGGCAAAATAATTTTACTGTAGGAACAGAGAGACTATACAGCCAAACACATTTCTGAAAGTAATATAAGCTAACATAACGGCCAGACAAAGCTTAAGTTCAGTCTCTTCTCTCAAAGATAGCATCCATCCTGAAGGAGAGGAGCACGTGAGTGGATTATGTATGGAGGTCTGTCCAGGGATAATATTCTAAACATAACAGAGTATCATCAGGAAATGGGCACAACAGCATATTCGAAGTTTTTAAAAGAATCAAAAATCCTAACTTGTCAACTCAGAGACTGACCAGTACCACTTTAGCTTTTTTGACATATTCTTTTACTGAGATCTAGTATTTCTATAATATCCTACATGCTATTTATTAAAAAAAAAAAAAAAAGGCACTGTTTTAGTGGCTAAAGCCAATATATTTAAGCTGTCTGGTTTCCATGGGTACGTATCAGTTAAGAAAACCTGCAAATCAATGCTATCAGGGATATAAAACTAGGAAAGAGACAAAAGCAGCTGCTAAGCTGTACATGTATTATTTGAAATAGCAAAAAATGAAGTTATTTTAACTAATGAAGTCACTGAGAACCTGTTTGATCCAATCTGTCTAGATATCCCCTAAGCAGGTACAATGACAGAAAAGTTTATGACAAGTCTCATAAGAAACACATAATTGCAATAAAAGGACAGAGGGACAGAGCCTGCAAAAATTTATACAGAACACTAATATGTAAATCAAAATAAAATGGTGCTTAACACTGGTAAGTAGAAACAAAGATTTTTAAAAAGCTTTCAAACAGTTAACTATTAATTTAGACCTTGAAATGCAGTAGGCATCCTTTTTATGTAGGAGAAATATACTACCACTCAACCCCTACTGTAAGGTTGGCAGCCCTGAGAACTCCTTTATCAATGTAGCATGTAATGGATGCATTTCTACCCCCAAAGCAAGGTGGGGCAGGTATGTCCACATGCAGCTTGCCTCCTTTGAAAGAACATTTTTACAACAGCATTGGCAAAGTACAAATATTCTAGTCTACTATCATGTGATATACTGTAATGACACAAACTCTTAAATGATTTTATTATACAGACAAATTCCAGACCACTGTTCAATGAGAATAAAGTACTGAAGAATAGGTATAATAGGAACGGACACGAACAGGTAGAGCAGAGAAAACTGTCTGCACACATGGGGTTTAGTTGTATAACTGATAGACAATTTTTTCTTCATCTTCAGTGAGTTAAATAAAATCCTTTATTTATAAAATATGCATTTTATATGCAAATAAATACGCATTTTCCAATAGATTAAATTTCAGATCACTTCTGAGACTTATTTCTTAACATAGTAAGATTGTGAATATAACGTTTTTGGATTTTTAGAAACAGGAAGCAAAGAATATAACGAAGTCATTACCGCCTCAATTATAAATACGATTAAATTCCACAATGACTTTTATGGTAAGTTAAATTTAATGTCTACAGAAACTTATTTGGGTGAAGAGATGTCATGAGTAACATACCCAGTTTTATTTTTGTCCAGGATGCTGGGTGCCAGGGATCGGATATAAGCACAGGTACATATAAGCAGCAAGATTACAGTCAACAGACTCTGAAAATTGAAAATGGCAGACTAAAAAGAGAAAAAAAAATTAGTGTCACAAAAAAACTTCCTAGAGAAAATAATGCCACACAATTCCACATTGAGAACCACGCTTTTATTTCTCCAAAAAGGCAAACAGAACGACATGTCCAACCACACTTAAAACCAAAACGACGCGGGGCTCTGAAGCGGCACTTTTCTCTCCACTCTTTGGGCCAGGGAAAGCAGGAGATGCAACAGCAAACATAAATTCAAGAACTTGAAAAATGTCATGAATTCAAAACAGCTGACCACAGCCGAGTCAGTACGTCATGCAGGCAGACGTCCCGGACCTTGCTCTTTCACACCTGTGGGGACTAGGGAGCAAAATTGAATGGTGACTACAGTTTCTTTCAATTTTGAACTTTTTCTGGGATAAGTATGCTTTAAATTTAAGAGCTCACGTTCCATGCCCTGACCAATACTAGGCTATTAAACACTGCTGAAAGAAAAGCACCTGCTTTTTTTTTGCTGTTGACTTTCAAAGTTCTTCATTCTTTAACAGTTCACTCCTATTCTAAAAGTGAACAGAGGAACAGAAAGCATAGCTTCCAGTCAAAATATGACGGAGGCAGCAGGTGTAGCATCTTCAACATCAGCTCAACCTCTCAGCTCTTTGAGGAAGTCTCCGTGCATCCACCTGGCTCTCCTCTCTTAATGTACCCAACTCGTTCATTTCCACTTCTCCTAGCAAACTGACCCTGTACTAACCCCTCTGCAGGGCACAGTGTAGTATCAAACTCACAGTTGCTAAGCACCCAAATTGACACAGTCCAAAGCAGAGACGTTTGAATAAATAAAATAACCTGAAGAAAGTGCAAGAATATTACTGTTTATAATAAAAGGTAACATTTCCATGATAGATAGATAGGGAGACAAAATAGGTCACTCAGACATTGCAGCCAGTAACATGCCTATTTAGTAAACTTACAAGTACTTCCTAAAAAAATCAGAGGTAAGACAAAGAATAAGAATTGTAAAAAATTTTTAAAAGATCAAATTGTTTCTTGCAAATGAGCGTTCACCTGAAAAGCCCCAAAATGACCAGAGACCGTAAGGGGACGGAGTAAGGTGGCTGGGCACAGAATGAGAACATTCATCACTGTTCGTAACTATGCTCTCACTCATACTGGGAGAGACACAGAGCAGAAGACTACATACATGATAGGAAGCAGAACAACAAACAGGTAACGTGGGCAGCAAGGGACAAAGCTGCAGAACCTTGAAACGGAGGCCACACTGGGTTCTCCTACCGGACGGCCAGGGCCGTGCAGATGCACACGTTTAAAGTGAGCCCCCAGTGGCAATGAATTAGTTTATGTAGAAAAATAAGCAAAAGCAGCAAGGAGAATCTTCAGAACTAGCCTTGTCAGAAGTCATTAAAATATCCTTTTATCCTTTTACTTATTAAAACAACTATGTACCAGCTACTGGAAAAATGTAAAATATACATATTATTTATCAGTACCCTTAATAACAAAAGTGGGTGATTATCTATAAGTAGTTTCTAATTCTCAACGTTTCTGGATTTCTTAAAATTTCTAGGTGTATTCCTATGGTCTAAAAATGATAATAGAGATGATCTTTATTTATTACTTGAATACTTGCTTTTTTTTGTAAATAATTTCTTCAAGGAGATAGCAGAGGTAAAATTTAACATGCCTTGGCTTGCAATTAAATTGGGTTTTTATTTTATTTTATTTTATTTTATTTTAT